GATTTGATGGAGCCCATGATTTCCGTGATGTAAGGGCCTTAATGCCTTAATAATTAGAATAGGGTTTTGGGGCCCATCATACCATAGTTATAATAAGGGTTCCTTATTATAACTATGGTATGATGGCCCCCAAAACCCCATTCTAATTAATTATTAAGGCCCCTATAGTAGTTGACTTGTCTCAGAGCATTTACAGTTCAGCCTTCAAGTCTTGTGTCGGTACGAGGCATGCCGAGTGACGGTCTCTTCCACAATGTGCTTCTCGATGTCACCGCAGCCGGCCTCCTGTTAGGCTTGCTGGTTGAAGCGTTTACGCTCTCGAGTAGAAGAAACCTTGCAACATTGACAGTGAAGCATTCGCCATCAGAACCAGGGAGCATGCCGAGAAATCCCCAAACCACTCGCCCTTCTGTCAACTGCAAAAAGAAGTGCGACGCCTTACAACACCTGCGCAACGAACAAGACTCCAAAGTCTAAACGAAAATAAGCACCAAACTGTAAGCGATTCAACCCCCAAACTCGAATCTGAGCCCACAACCTAACTCCTTGACCTTAGCATTGAATTTCAACCCTGAAGCCGTGCATCCCAGAACCTTGAACCCCAAACCCTAAACCCTAAACCCTAAACCTTAAGTCAAAGACTACACCCGAAACTGCAAATTTTAAACCCAATGCCCTGCAGCGATCCTTGAATCGCCTCAGAACTGTCTCCCGAGCTTTCGCAGCGATTTCCTCGACCAGGCGTCGGGTACTTAGGCTTTGGGCTCCCGGGTTTAGGGTTTTGGGGCTTCGGAGTTTAGGGTTTAGGGATTAGGGTGTGAGAGCTTCGGGTGCTGAGTTTAGGGTCTAGACACTAGGAGTTAGCAGCCTTACTAAACCCTAGACCACACCCTAAACCGTTCGGAGCGTAGGTCATACACCAAAAGCCTGAAACTCGACACGGAAACCTGGGAAGAGTCAACATAGGGGCCTTAATAACTNNTAACTAGAATAGGGTTTTGGGATCTTGTTACATATATAATTCAATCAGGAACCCCAAATGGTATCGGCAATTATTACTTAAGACCCCTATATTACTACTTATGGGTCCTTATAGGGCTTAGTCTAAGGATAACGTCAGGGCCTGACGAATGATACTGCGGCGTTTTATTTGGGGGCGGGGGGGGGGGGGGGG